CTCAAAAAAAAAAAAAAAAAAAAAAAAAAAAAGAACTGTTTATGCCCATTGTACTAGTGATTATAACTAGTTGATTTAATTAAAGAGATGAATATGCATGCAAACTTATAAAAAATAACTTGGACTGCTTTAGAAAAACTCAGAAAAGGCAAATCATTGAAAAGTAATTGTGTGAATTAGATGAACGGAAAAAATCGTGGAAAAATCATAAAAATCTAGAAGGCTTTTGCATTCAAGATGCATCCCAAGTGTATTGAAGTTACTGCTGCTCTTTCAAGAAAGGAAATGTGGAAATTTTCTACCACTAATTATGGGTGTGGTTTATGAAAGGCAAAAACAAAACAAAACAAAACAAAAAGCAGAGCAGAACTCCATTCAAGAGATCTATACTAGAAGAAAAGATCTTGGCTAAACATCAAAATGTTGGCAGATAAATACAAATTTACATGTTTTAAGGTACATATGCATCACTTTCTTGGGATTTTCACTTAAATCAACCCTCTTTGATTAGAAGATCCACAACCACTCTCAACTCAAACTTGTTAAATCTGCCACTTACATTAACAGTACAAATTAGAGTGCTTGCTCAGCAAGCAACCAGCGCATAATAAGAGCTCAATAAACCTTAGCTCTTATTATTACTAGCCAATAATAAACCTTAGCTCTTATTATTACTTTACATTATTACTGATGTAAAGTAGAACTAGTAATTGCTGGGACAAACTTGGACAAAGAAGGGTAAAGTGACACTAGCCATCCCAATTAATTCAAACTGGATGCAAATCTCAGATTCTTGCCAAAATATGATGATGTTAACTGGGTATTGGCTTTTCCCTCATCCAGTGTTACAGTCTAGGAATGCTCCCCTTGAATAGAGGAATTTTTTTTTAACTTTTCAAAAGAAATCTCATAAAGTCTAATGTGGACTGGTTTATGCCAGGTCCTGGCATAGTTAATTTGGGGGTGGCAGGCAGGAACTTCTTGAAATAAGTGACTTCGGTGAGAAACTGCAGCCCAGACATGTCTTTGTGAGAATGCTGTTATAAGGACATTGTGTTTCATTTCTGCCTCTCCTTACAGTTCATTTTTAATTATTGATGTCACTCTTTCCTTCTCTCTCCAACCAAACGAACATAACATTTAAACATTAAAGAGACTAAAGAGCCAGTGACTGAATTTTTAAAAAGAATTAACAATTAAAATAAATTCATTATTAAACTTGGTTACCTCCTGAGCTACAACTTGCTCCATCACTTTCGTTGCGGGCAGGGATTATAGAAACTTTGTCATTTCAGAACACTATTCACCCTCCATCCAAGCTAGTTCGAAGGGCCACAGCAATGGAGAGCAGCAAAAAGAAACGTGAATGTCAGTGAGTATGTCCTTGAGTAACTGGTCGCAGTTCAACTATTTCCTTCATGTTACCCATCTGTGCTATATGTGTTTTCTTATAGAGTCAGAGCTAAGGTTTACCTTTAAATGCATGACAACATTATCAAGATATGATTTCCCTGGGAAATATATGGAATAGTCCAGCATTTGTATGTGTGTCTGACAGTGAGAAAAATGGTGAGAATTGTATACACATATGACATTGATGGACCCCTAAGTTCCTATGTTACTTTTTAAAGCAGAAAGCTCTCCTAGCAAGTGTCTACCAAAATATTAGATCTCTAGATCAAATACTTTGACTAAATTTTGCAGACATTCACACACACAAACTTCAAAACAGTTACAGAGGTAATATCGTGGACTAGGCTCTGCCCATCATCTTGCCTCCTCCCACACTTAGGCATACATATGCATTAGCTCAGAACCCGTTGGCAGCACTCAGATAACACAGGAAAGTGAATGAACCCATCACCTAACTAGGCCAGGTTCCTGTGTTTCTGACTATTCTGTTTGCCGTCTTTTCTGAATACTTACTACCTTGCACAACCTAACACCAGACTGTGCAGCGTGTCCCCAGTTTTAAGTACATGCCTTTGAGAATCTCTTACACAGCCAGACTAAGCTTTTTGAAGACAGGACAATGTCTTACACTTAGCTTATATATTCTTTCATGCCTAGCACAAAACTCAACAAGAGATTGAGTGTTAAGAGGAGGATGTAAGCCAGGCACGTGGCTCACGCCTGTAATCCCAGCACTTTGGGAGGCTGAGGCGAGCGGATCACCTGAGGTTGGGAGTTTGAGACTAGCCTGATCAACATGGAGTAACCCCGCCTCTACTAAAAACACAAAATTAGCTGAGCGTGGTGGTAGCACATGCCTGTAATCCCAGCTACTCAGGAGGCTGAGACAGGAGAATTGCTTAAACTCGGGAGGCGGAGGTTGCAGGGAGCCAAGATCTCGCCATTGCACTCCAGCCTGAACAACGAGAGTGAAACTCTATCTCGAAAAAATAAAAAAAGAAGAGGACATATCAGACGAACATAAATGACTGTTCTACCCTGAACCCAAACAGCACCAAAGCCCTTCTTGGTTCAGGTCACCAGCTGTGTCACCTTCCAAAGGTTTTGACTGGCCATTTGTAGAAATCACTGTCCTCCCCAGAAGTCGTATTTGTGTTTGTAAAAGAGATTACCTTGATGTAAAATGAAACTAATTCCACCACTGCCAAAGTAGGGCCAATTGCCTACATGTTTTTTCAAAATGCAATTCATTTCAACCAATTTTATTATCCCCTAAGCCAGCTGCCAATGATGCCAACTGAAAAACCCAGATATCCTGGCTCTAGAGTTGGTCCTCCCAACAACTGGGTACCCCCCACTGAATACAAAGGAACCTCATTTGTTTCTTTCCCACCACCCTCACTGTCAGCATTCTCTATCAGGGTAAATTTCAAATAACTCTGGGGACTTCTATACTTAGTTAAACTTCCTAGTCTCCCCAAATTTCTTGCCATATCCTGAGAGTGGGATAGGGAATCTATTCAAGGATCTTGGCCTATTTACATGGGCAGTACTTATGTGCTTAGAGTTATCAAGGATATAAAAGGGGCATGGGCCAATGGGTTCCTGCCCCCAAGTCATTTATAACTTGGAAAAACAAGGCTTCTCAAATAACTGGGGACCAAGCCAATATCCAATCACATGACAACAAGACATACGTGTCTAGGAGAATGACAGAGTGAATGGAATAGGGACCTAGGAAAAGACCGTCAAGCAGAACCCACTCAAGGCTAGCGATCATGTATTCAAAATGAGACTAACTGGCATGGTGACATTTTCTTTCAGTCAGTCATGCTCAGCTACATAACGGCAGTTGCATCATAGGCAGAAAGTTGAAGCTATGCCTGGACTAGGTTTAGTTAAGCACGTATTATAAGCAAGAGTTGAAAATATATGCAAAGGAATGATTCTAATAATCAACCATGGAGGTCACTTACACCAGGTACAGAGGAAATGTGAGAGATGTGAGGACAATGAAACGGTATCATTCAATTGTAGCCCACAATAGGCATAAAGGAGTGTTGGAGTCAGAGTGCAAGAGGAGCCATGTGAGTAGCATCTATATGTGCGTGGTAGAAAGTCAGAAAAGGCACAGTTCATATGGGCCAGGGAGCAGGTGGCCCACATAAACTGTGGAGGATTTAGGCTGAGAATAAAGAACATAGAACTAAAGTTGATTAGACTAAAAAGAGGACATAGAATATTCTAAATTGGAGCATACACGAGTAAGGGTGCAGAATCTATACTAAAGGTAATGGATTTAGAAAATAGGAAACCAGGCTTACTGGGATGTAAAGTTCAATTTCCTTAGTGGTAGAGCGTAAATTTTGAAAAG